AGTTAAATTATAAACATTTGAAGTAATTGTGATCTTGAGGTTTAAATGTTTTGATGGTTATTTTGTAGAATAAACTGGGTATGTAGTAATAATGACTTTGTAATTACTGTATACAAATGATCTGTTTTTGCCTTTAGTAGAATAAAGCAGCACACTAAACTAGCATTTAAAATTTTCAGTGTATTTTTTGCAGGAAATTTATGTTTTTTTAAAAAGAATAGTCCTAAATACAGAGTATAGAATCATGGCTTTGATGCAAATTAGATATTTTTCCTGAATATAAAGTGAAATTTGGTTAGGAACAGACGTGGGTGTATATCCGTGTTCTAAAGTTACTGAGTTAACATATTTAAATCTAATTTTTAAATTCTACTACCACCTCCAGCTCCGCCTTTTCAAGATTACCAAAAATGGAGGCTTAGGTTAAATTCTATCAGTTATCTTACACTGAATTTCTAAAGCCTTCAAAAGGCTTGGGCAAAACAAACTTCTTTTTGAAATATTGTACTGGAGTAGTGTAGCTTTATTATTATTTTTTTTTTGTCTCATTACTATTTTGAAAATTTTAAATTATAAACATACATTAATATGACTAATAGGCTAATTGCAACTTTTTTTCTTGGACAATTTGGTTTATGTTATTAAGAAAATTCAGTTCTTTGAGGGATATTAATATATTTGACTTTTTGCTTTCCTTTGGCTTCTGTAATTTTACTAAGTTACGCTTCCCTCTTGGAAGTATAGCTGAAAGCGAGTAATCCTTTTACATAGTCACCTCTGCTTTTAAAAGTTAGGCATGAAGCTGGGCCTCTTCAACTATACTATTTTTAAAAATAAAATTAATCTTACTGGTTGCATCTGTAACGGTATATTCAAAGGTAAGTTTTTATACCTTTTAATCACTGTGCAAATGACTTTATAGTGTCCTAGATATTTAATCTGACAAAGGTCACTAAAGTAGTTAATTTGAAATCCTTGAAGAGGAGAGATTAGAAATCCAAATGCTTGTGGATATTATGTCATTTCACTGGAATCTTTTTTTCCTGTGTGTCAATGAGGTTTTTACCTCAGGTCTTACTGTTGGAGTTCCTTGGTTTGAGTTGTCCTTTTCCCAGGGTAGCAGTGAAGCATGCTTGTATTGTATTCAAATCTCTGTTTAAATTCACATTTCTGTTTAAATGTCTCATCATCAAAGTCCTTCCCAGATATACTTATCCAAGATCCTGTATTAGTTTACTTTTTCCCTCCTTTCCTCCTTCCCTTTTTTCCTTCTAGTCCTTCCTCTTCCTCTATACTTACACTTTTACCCACTTAGTTTTTTCAAAACACTTGTCTGCTTGACAGTATATCTTATGTATGTATGTGTGTAACCTGTCTCCCACCACCTCTAATGCAAATTCTGGGTACATAAGTACTATGTTTTTTTTGAGTTGTATCCTCAAACTTAACAGTGTCTGACACAGTGAGTGCATATTAAATATTATTAAATAATGATTGTGATATTTGGAAGATAGTCATCAAATGTTATTTTATTTTGTTCGTCAGAGTTTATGAAGATAAAAAATTGACCCTGATAGAAGTGTGATATTGATCTAGTGAAATAGATTTGCACATGTATTTCCTCTTATACTACTCTGTCTTTTAGATCCAGAGAATACATATGACTAGTTCATTTTCAAAGCTTTGTTATTACACTCTTTTCTTTGTGATCTATAAAGGGGTTTTACACTCCTCAGACAAGTTATGTGTCATTCAGATCATGAACATGTCTGAAGTAGTGGCAGCTAGTAAAATACCTTATGAACAAGGTTGGTGACCATGGAGACAGCTTTCTAAAAGTAGCCCTTCACTATTTAAGTATAGTTTTATTTTGTTAGGTAATTTAAAGGATTTTATTTCATTAACTTTGCATAGCAAGTTCTTTCTAGATGTAGCTAGATGTTGCATCAGTACTTTTAATTAAAACAAGTGAAAAAGAGGACATATTTTGTCTTCTCCCGATACCTAACAGTTTGATATATTATTGAGGTTATGTGGCTCAGATTATTTTCTATTCAACGAGAGTTTGAAAGTATGTAACTTGTTTTCAAAACATACCAGTTGCAGTGAAATGACTTACAGAACTTAAGAAAAGTACCTCTCAGGTACAAATTACTAGTTTTGATAGTAAATATGAAATTGTAAATATTGTTTCTACTATATATTTTGAACTCAGACAAATTTTTAAAAATAATCCACCTTTTAGACTATCTCAGGCATTTAGAATTTTAGTATGTGGTAGTTTTGTTTTCTTCCTTCTTGGGTACTGGAGATTGAGCCTAGAGCCTTTGCACTGAGTTTCATCCTGAGCCTTTTTTTTAATTTTAAATTTTGAGATAGGGTCCTAGTAAGTCACTAAGTTACTTAGGCTAGACTCAAACTTGCTATCTTCCTGACTTAGCCTGCCACACAAAGCTGATAGTTTGTTTCTTCTTGTGTCTTTTACTGGTTTTTGAATGAATTCAGATTGCTTCTTGCAAGTGTAAAGCAGATTGTTCACTAGTTTTATCTTGCTGTTTTCTCAAACTATAGTTTATAGATAGTAGTTATTATAAAAATAACCAGTTTTCTTGCTAAAATTTTAATTCACTTTTAGTGTCCTAATTAAAAATAATGTAAGAATAGAATAGATTCAGTATTTAAGACAAATGGAAAATGACAAATCATTAGATCACTGTAAAAGTGAGAATTCAACACAAGAAACCAGTGTAAAACCAGTGTAGCGTTTGGACCCAATGACTCTGAGACTTTGAGTAATCTGGTATCTAATAGTAATTATTAGGTATCAAAATAATTTTCAGTAAACTAAAGAACATTCGGCTTGATGTTTAGTTAGATGAATTTTTAGTTGCTTGTGCTTATTCATGTTGCAATATTGTTATATAGTATTACTAGATTGCCAGATAGAAGTATCTTTAGACTTATTTGATCACAGTTATCATTTTCATAGTTTTCCATGGGTTAGGAATTTGGGAGCAGGTTAGCTGGGTTTATCTTACTTGGTTCCTCTGAAGGACATCTGTTTTTCAGGCCTGCAGTCTTCCCAAGGTTCTGTGGGAATGTAGAATTTGCTTCCCAGCTTATTCCCTTGGAGCTGTTAGCTGGAGACTTCTTTTCATTGTGAATACCTAATGTTCTCCATTAAGGCTCTTTGAGTGTGCTTGGAGCATAGCAGTTGATTTCTCCAGAACAAGAGTTGAAGAGAGAGCGTAGAGGAAAACAATACCTTTTGTGTCCTACTCCTGAAGTAAGACCATACCTTTGCCTCAGCCATAGCCATAGTCTGTGTTAGTAGCAACTCACTAAATTAATCCCATTCTAAAATCTTGGGGATTTGAATGGAGAAGTGAAGAATTTGATGATGTACTATAAAATCACTTCAGTGATGTAAGGCAGAGTGTCTTATAGCATATATGATGAGTATTGTGTTTGTTTTCCATGTATTGGGAGTTCTCAACTCTTGACCCTCTTGTCAGATTTGTGCAACAAACAAACAGCAAAGTAAAATAAAGAGGGTTGAATTAGGCCTGTCTGCTCACTCAGAATTAGGTTTTTCTATAGATGATTCTAATGTACAACCAAAATTCTACACTATGTATGGGATATACCTTTTGATTCTGTGACATAGTACTGTTATATTCTTTGTAAGACTATTAATTGTCCTTGAAGCCAGCTTGGGGTACATAGTGAGTTCAAGGCTAGCCTAGGCTACATACATAGTTGAGAACTTGTCTCGATAAAAGAAAAAAAGAAGAATGAAAAAAAAGAAAAGAAAGAAAGTTGGTTTTGCCTGATACAAACTACATATTAAGGAAGTTTTCCTTTTTGTAATTGGTTAACTATTGGAACTTTTTTTCTTGTTTTTCTTTTGACTTTATTCTGAAATTTTCTTTTAATATAGTCACATTACTCTAGGGATATGTGAATTTGCATCATAACTGAAAAGGTTATTACTCCAGAGGCACATAATAACTCATTTTTCTCTAAAAATTAATGGTTTCATATACTTTTGCAGTTTTGTACTTGCTCTAATATATGGGTTAAATTATGAATCCAGGTTTGTTTTCTAAAAAGGCAATTGCCAAATTGTCTGAAAACCATTTACTACATGGTTCATTTCTTTGTTATTGATGTGGATGCCATCTTAACACAAATTTCTAATATGTTTGGGTCTATTTCTAGGATTTCTTTTCTGCTGGTTAATTTAATATATTGTGTGTGTAAGAAGTGAAGCTGGGTGTGATGGCTTATGACTGTAATCTCAGTTCTTTGAAAGAGTGAGGCAGGAAAATCAAAAGTTTGAGTTGGATAAGTTCATGACTTAGACACTGCTAAAAATAAAAATAAAAAGGATTGGGGATATAGCTCAGTGTGAAGATCCTGTGTTCAGTTTTCAATACTGTAAAGGAAAAGGAGGGAGAAGAATGGATGAGTGGATGAATGGTTGCAGGATATATTGAAGAGAAAAAGCATATTCAGTGCCTTCCATGAGACCAGTTTTTTTTACATATATTAAGTCATGTAACTATTTTTCATTCCTTCTAAGTAAGTTTGTAAATGTGATTTATAGAATGTGCAGGTATTGTTTCCATTGGCTCTATCATGTTAGATTGTATTACGTGTGAAAGTATAAACACATTTTCTATGGAAAAATGAGATAATATAGTAGGCATTGTTTGTTTTCTGTTATTTGGTTCTGAAAGCCCTGTAATAGTCTCATTCTATTTTGTTATGTTTGATACTATAGTATATGAAGTTATACTCAACTATTTCAAAGAAAGAGACATCGTGGTAGTTACTGTTACTTACAGGTTGTCTTCTGGTGAAATACTGTGTTGTTTACATTGTTCTGTTCTGATCTGCTCTATTATGTCCTGTTTTGTCTTAATCTCTCTTTAAAATAAAAAAAAATGTAGGTATTTATGGTTAAATGTTCTTCAACATTGTTTTGTTTTTTTTAGTTGTGATGCAGATCCATCAGCCCTAGCAAAATATGTTCTGGCTTTGGTAAAGAAAGACAAAAGTGAAAAAGAGTTAAAGGCATTATGTATTGATCAGCTGGATGTATTTCTTCAGAAAGGTAAGATCTTTGGTTTTAATATACTATTTTACTTTAATAGTTAGTTAAAAAGTTAAAACAGATTATCCATACAGTATTAAAGGAACTCAGTAAAAGGCTATAATTATAACAAAAGTTCAAAAATCAGTAATATTGGTCATATCTAGAGCTTATTTAAAATAGAAGCTTCCTCTCATTTAATATCTTTTTGATAATTTTTAAAAGATGCTTTTCTTTTTTTTTGGGATGTGGTCTTGCTATGTAGTTCAGGTTGTCTTTGAACCCACATGTATCCCAGGTTGTCCTTGAACTCCCAGCAGTCTTGCTGCCTCAGCCTTTTGAGCACTGGGATATCGGGCATATGCCACCGCACCCAGCTATTTTTTCTTACATAGGTTAAAAAGTTCAGAAAAGACTGAATGTTTATTTAAAGATAGTACTGTTTGGGAAACTACTTTGAATTTTGTCTAGCATATTGTTTTCAACTTTTTTGCACTTTACCTACATCTAGACAATATTTGCTGTTAAATACTGGGTGGACTTCATGGAAAAGACAAATCATACTCAGAAGTTACTCAGAGGATCTGACCATTCCAATCTGTGCCACCTTTAACATTGAAATGAATGAGTTGTTACCATGGAACTTACACCATTTTCGCTAGTTAAGAAGCTGTTGGTCTTAGTAAAATTTCTGCATTTGTAAAAGCCATGGTTTTTATCTTATTAGAGGTCTAATGTATTAGAAGACTAATGTGTAGAAGTAGGGAATTAATATCTTCTAAAGTGTTTTTAATCTGTTGTTCTTCTTTGTTTAATTTTTAGAGACACAGATATTTGTGGAAAAACTTTTTGATGCTGTGAATACAAAGAGTTATCTACCTCCTCCAGAGCAGCCATCATCAGGAAGCCTGAAGGTAGAATTTTTTCAGCACCAAGAAAAAGATATAAAAAAAGAAGAGGTAAAAATTTGTGTTATTCCTTATAGCTTATGTTATAGTTTCTGTAAATGTACAAAGAATAATTAAACTGAGTTTTCTGTATCTTTGTATTTTTAAGACATCCTGAAAGGTTTGATGATTTCACTAGATACATTAATGGGACTTAGCATGTATTTATATTAATGGCTATGTCTGTGCCTTTGTCACTTTTTTCGTCACTTGGACAAAATATCTGATACCAATAAATAAGGGAGGAAAGGTTTATTTTGTAGAGGGGTTCACTTTATAATCATATGGCTCCAAGGTAGGACAGTGTAGTAGAGGGATATAGTAGAAAAGAAGCTACCGGGGCTGGGGATTTAGCTCAGCGGCCTAAGTGCCTGCCTTGCAAGCAGGCAGTCGTGAGTTCGATCCCTGGTACCGATAAAAAAGACCAAAAAAGAAAAGAAGCTACTTATGGTGCTGTGGTGGAGAAGCAGAGAAAGTCAGGGGCAATGCTGGGTAAAGAGTTAACCATTTCATGCCACACCCTCACCTAACATTGAGTCAGCTGTCAGCCCCACTGTCACCCTCCAAATCACCAGTCACCCTCAAAAGCCCTGCCTATGATTGCATAATAGATAAATCATAACAATTTTTAAATGCAGGTTGCAGAGTAAAGTCAGCAGAGGTGTATGAGGTGAAATCTGCTGGAAAACAGCATAGGCTTCCAAAGTTTTTGGAGTCACAAAGGATGAGCTTAATTCTCCTGGTAATGAGTTATGAGAGGGGAAGAAGTATATCAGCAGAACTGTGTTAGTTTGTCCTGGGTTGGCTGTAACCCAAAGAGAGATGGTAAAGCTGACTGTAAACCAGGACATGTATTCCCTATCTGTAGGTTACATCAGAATACCTTAGAATTCTTACTAGAAATGACAACTTTAAGCCTTGGTATATTCACAGAAACTTTTTTTTTTTCAATGTTTCCTGAATTTGTTTAACTTATAAATCCATTTTTAAAACTGACAAAGTAATGGCCCATGTTCTAAGCAGGAAAGCCTGGAAAAAAGTAACACTGATCAAGGAACTGTTTCTTATGCCTGCTTTTTAGCAGTTACATAATAGAAATGGAAGCCACCTTGGGAAACAGGAATGTGTAGTTGATATGATGCCATAAAAAACTATATATACTGTACTGACTTTTCAAATACCCTGAATCTTTTGGGGTTTTTTGGGGGTGATACTAAGAATCAAGGCATGGCCTCATGTATATAGGTAAACACTCTATTCCTGAGTTATGTCCCCTGCCCTCAAGTGCCATTTTAATACCTTGGTTATTTCAAATGCATCCTGCTATATTCTTTGATGAGTTTTATGTGAGATTTAACTCCATGAAACCAAAACATGAATATATGTTAGACTTTTGAAGGAGGAATAAAATTGTGTCTATTAATTATATTAAAATGAGATTTACTAAAATATTTTCTTGTAACTTTTTATATTTATGTTCAGTCTTTCAGCCAACTGCCCATTATGGGTAAATTAAATGATTATGTTAGTAGGGAAATTTACTTACAGAAAATGACAATTTGGCTCCCGTATTATATAAATTAATTTTGAGTCATTGAAATAGAACATGGTAAGGAATAACTAAACTTGTACACTTTTTTTAATATCAGATCACTAAGGAAGAAGAGCGAGAGAAGAAATTCTCTAGAAGACTAAATCATAGTCCTCCTCAGTCAAGCTCCCGATACAGAGAAAATAGGTGAGTGGCTCCCTGAGCTATGCTTAATGTAGATTTTGATAACCTTTTATATGAGTCTGATTGTCTTTTACATAGGAGCAAAAAATATCTACTTTTTTTTTATTGGTCCTTGTTACTTTTCTACCAAGAAAATGTGTTTCAAGGGGCTGGGGATTTAGCTTAGCGGCATAAGCACCTGCCTTGCAAGCTCATGGTTGTGAGTTCAATCCCCGGTACCAATAATAAAAAAAAAAAAAAAGTGTTTCAAACTTGTATTTTGGCAGCAAGATTCAGAATTGTGCTTGACAGGTATTAGTTATTACTTTTATTCTTAACTTGAGATTATAGTGGAATTGTAACATGAGACCTTTTTGTCTGAAGTTTCCATTTAGGGTGATTTACTTTTTCCATTAAAATTTCAAAATGTTTAAAATATGCTGATACAATAAATACCTCTAGAATATAGGTACAAGACTGTTGGATGTGTAAGACAGAAATAATACACCTTTATGTACATATGCTTTACTGTATAGATGTTGATATGTATAACATTAAGGGTTAAGACATTGAAATAATTTTTGCTTTTGAAAAATGTTTTCGACTACTTAAACTAAGATTTTTCAGATTGACTTTCCCATATTTGTATTCTGATGATAAGACAAATACAAGTAAGTGAACACAGCTTCTGCGTGAATGCAGTTTGTTCCCTACATAGTTATTATTTGCCTAAGAATAATCATATGTTTCTTTAGAAGTCGTGATGAAAGGAAAAAAGACGATCGTTCTCGCAAAAGAGATTATGATCGAAACCCTCCCCGAAGAGATTCGTACAGAGACCGTTACAATAGAAGACGAGGGCGAAGTCGCAGTTACAGCAGGAGTCGAAGCCGAAGTTGGAGTAAAGAGAGACTTCGTGACAGGGATAGAGATAGAAGCAGGACTAGAAGCAGAAGCAGAACACGAAGCAGGGGTAAATAAAACGTAATTTTGGTTGGCATTGTTTTACTGCAAAAAATTCTATATTTAAGGGTTTTTAAAATTGTTTGTTTCGCCAGTGTTTTCTTCATTTTTTAATGTTACGATTTTCCTGTGGTGTAAGTAAATGTTTGTTTGTAATTGTAGGTTAGAATGATACCTCCTACGTTTAACAGGACATTTACAATGGAAAAAGATTACATTTAGTGTTGGTGAGAATGGAGATAAAATTACTTTCTGAAAGTATCTTAAAATGTTAACCTGTTCCTAGAAAATGACCCATGAATTCCACTCCTACTTACCTAAAAAGAAATGAAAACTGTTCATATAAAGATTTGTATTCAGATATTTGTGCCAGCTTTATGTGTAATAACCTTAAACTAAAAGCAACCCAGATGTTTATCATTAGATGGATATTGATATGGTTTCCACATATTGTGGTATATACTTTAGCATAAATAAAAAGGAATTGTTGATACATGTACTCTGTGTTACGTTGAGCAAAGAAGGCAGATGAAGGTAATGTGTATATAAGATTTTAGAAAACGTGTACTAATCTATAACAGTACAAAGCCAACCAGTGAGTGGTTGCTACAGTAAAGACAGAATGGATTACAAGGTCATTAACAAAAGGGTCTGAGGATACATTTCAAGGTGAAGAGTCAGTTCGTCACCAGATTGTAGTGTTGGTTTCACAGTTACATATATAGATCACAACTTACATTATAACTTTCAGATTTTTATATATGTTGTTAAGGTATATATATACATAGATAATAGCTTATTGCATTGGGTACTTTTATTTAGATGTTTATATTGTGCCTCAAAACTATAAAAGTTAAAACATTGTATTTCAAGATGTATTTGCAAGAGTATATCATTTCAACATGTGTAATTTTTCTTCTAGTACATATTGAAAGATTCTGAAAAAAATATAACTAAAGCACCTTTGAGTAAAACACTTATTCAATCTTAGATTTTTGTTAATACTTTTTTTTTTCTTAGTATAATCCTTGTATTCTGCTGTTTTTCTGACAGTTTTCCGGGCTATAATGTAGGTGTAGATAGTAGCTCTCTTTGCATATTACTTTACTTATCTCCATGATATTTTTGTTTCTTGAAACTATGTACTGCCTAGTTTATGTTTAATATGAACTCCCATTGTTCCTTTTCTTATCTATTCTCAACTTCATGTCTTTAGATGGATGATGATGAAATATTTATCAGAGGAAAAATACAATGTTTTTATTACATGTTCTGTTTTGTGGGCTGTACTAAGATTATAATGACAATAATAAAATTTCTCTACAAACAAAATTTCAAGGAAAAATTCATTAAACAGTAGCATAACTTTATGTGTAGTTTTACACTTTAGGTGTTATTGAATAGAAATAGCTTACTTGGAAGTTGTCTATAGTAATTAAGTAGTTTGTAAAAAAAAGAAACAATTTTTTAAAAATTCCTTATTTTAACAAAAAATACCACTTTAAAACTGAGATGCTGATTTTTTGTTTTGTTTTTTAGTAGAGTGCTCTTTGTAAATTGTTTGTGTTTTGTTGCAGAAAGGGATCTGGTAAAACCTAAATATGACTTGGATAGAGCAGATCCATTAGAAAATAATTATACTCCAGTCTCTTCAGTACCTAATATCTCATCTGGTCATTATCCTGTACCTACTTTGAGCAGTACTATTACTGTAATTGCACCTACACATCATGGTAATAACACTACTGAAAGTTGGTCTGAATTTCATGAAGACCAAGTGGACCATAACTCTTATGTAAGACCACCAATGCCAAAGAAACGGTGTAGAGACTATGACGGTAAGTCTTTCAATTAAAGTATTAAATTAACATTTGCAACCTCCTAAATTCTGTAAGTTTAGGAAGTACAGTTATTCACAGACTTACCTCTGGTATTAAAATATTGAGAAATTAGTTTTTGTCATTTCCTAAATTCCAGAATATTATTGTACATTTCATTGGTTACCTCTGCCTATTTAATATCAATTCAAAGGCTGAGATGTTGAAATTTTTAAACCAACTCCCATTCCATCCCTAGATTTGTATCTACTGAATTCATTTTTCAAGGAAGCTGCTTCTAATATTATGACAAAACTCACTTTAGAAATGAGTGAATATTAGAATGTAGCTAAGACCTAGAAATGCGTTACTAAGATTTTTATAAGAGAACGGAAGACTTTCAAGTATTAATAGGCAAAATTTTATAACTTACTAAAGCTAGAGTTGCAATATTCTTGTAATCTCAAATGAGAAATTTAAGTGATTTGTTTTTAATGACAAAAATGTGACAAAATGTAAGTTTTATGTCATCTTGTTAGCTAGCTTAGTAAACTTTCATTTGGTGGTACTTTTTTTAGGTAGAGTAGTTATGGTAGATAATATGCATGTGCATGTTAGACATATTAACACTTGATAAATTTTTTTAACTTCTTTCATTTTTTTTTATTAGTGTATGTTTGCAATTGTCACAGTTTGCAATCATCTTGAGCTGTGGTTACATGTACATATTACAGCTTTTGTCCTACCCCCTTCCCTCTCTTTCATTCTACTCCTCTAGTTTCTCTGTCATCTTTTATATTCTTGTTGATATTGTTTGTTTTAACTCATGTTATGGCATATAATGATTGCATTGATTGGAGTTATTAGGGTCCTGAACATGGCACATTTTTATCCCTGTTATTTCCCTTTTCCCTCCTCCTCCTCACTCCTTGTTCCTTTCTATCCATCCTTTATAGTTGAAATTATTTGTAGTTTGCCTTAGTTAAATGAGAGGTACTATATGGTATATACGCTTGAGTGTTTGCTACAGCATTACATGCATACCAATATTTATAAAGCAAAATTTATAGTAGCTAAATCCTGTGAAGTGACCTGTATACTTATTAGCAAATGATTGAATAAACAAAGTATGGTATCTGTATATAGTGGAATACTACTCTATTATAAAGAAGGACAAATTTCTGTGAAAAATCAGATTAAAAATTATACTTCTGCTCTATTCAAAAGATTTATGTTTTGTTAACTTAGAAACTATCAGTACTTTTCACATTTCTGTCTTTTACTCACAGAAAAGGGTTTTTGTATGAGAGGTGACATGTGCCCTTTTGATCATGGAAGTGACCCAGTAGTTGTAGAAGATGTCAATCTTCCCGGTATGCTGCCTTTCCCAGCTCAGCCTCCTGTTGTTGAAGGACCACCTCCTCCTGGACTCCCCCCACCTCCGCCAATTCTTACACCTCCACCTGTGAATCTTAGACCCCCAGTGCCACCTCCAGGTCCATTACCACCCAGTCTCCCACCTGTCACAGGTCAGTAGATAACATTTGTTGCTGTGTGTTTATTGTCTTTCCATTAATAGTTTTCCTGTAAAGTTAATAGGTTCAGCTTGATTTTGTTAAAAGTATCCATAGCTGTCATGTAGATGTCTGATAGAAACTAAGTGAAATACTCTATCATTTGGAATACGCTTAACATTGCAACCTTTACCAAAGCAGTTACTGTGGCTTGAAATGGCCCTGTGAATTATATACACTACAGATACACCCCAGTTGCCTGCAATTCTGTATTACTTATGGACAGACTTGTTTTAGAAAACATTAAAAGACTTTTGTACCAAGAAAATGTGTTAAATTGTAAGAGATTTGTGTTTGAGGAAGGTATTACAGTTTGGTAAAAGAAAATATATTTGGATATACAGTAATTTGTTTTATTTGTTTGCTTTCAGATGATATTTCTTATTCTTTGGTTTTGACAGGACCACCACCTCCCCTTCCTCCTTTGCAGCCATCTGGCATGGATGCTCCCCCGAACTCTGCAACCAGTTCTGTTCCTACTGTTGTAACAACTGGCATTCATCACCAGCCTCCTCCTGCTCCACCCTCTCTTTTTACTGCAGGTGCAGTTTTGGCCCACCCTGTAAAGTAATTTTAAAGCAGAATTTTAGATAAGGAACTTAATAATGTCCATAGAGTTAATTGCTTTCTTAGAACCATGTTTTTCTCACTAAATTTTATCAGTTGCTTTTTTAGGCTTGATGAATATACATTCAATAATCCCTCAGTTGTGATCATTTTTAACACTTACATTTTTAATATTTTTTACTTTTATGGAACTTTTCTTTGTAATATGTATAAAACATGATAGTTTTGTGTTAGTATTGTACTAGTAATTTGTTAGGTGGCTTACTATTTCTACTATCAGTATTAAAAATTACCAAATGGAGTTTTATAATTGTTTTTTAATTGCAGTTTTTGTATTACCAGATGCATATGACACAGATGGCTACAATCCTGAAGCACCAAGCATAACAAACACTTCTAGACCTATGTATAGACATAGAGTACATGCACAAAGACCTAACTTGATAGGACTAACATCAGGGGATATGGACTTGCCACCCAGAGGTACTATGATTAATCTTTTCTTATCATTTTCATGGTATCTAGAGTGGGGAACCATTTTTAAAGAACAATTCTTCCTGTGTTATATAGGTTGATAGGGGATGAGTTTTTAGTTACCTGAGTCTTGTGATCTCTCAAGAGATACAGGTAACGTGTGGTTCCATATTTGAAGCCACACTTTATTATACTGCTCCACAGAGAATTTTCCACAAGTTTGAATTTCTCAAGTTGTTTTGCTTTTGTTTCTTTCATCTCATCTATGTTCTGAATTTGTTCATTTAAACTCATGAGAATAGTTTAAACTGCATGTGGTGGTGCATGCCTATAATCCCAGCATTTGGGAGACTGAGGCCCATGAGTTAAAGGCCAACCTACACTACATAGCGAAACCTTACCTTTTTTGAAAAAGAAAACTCCTTTAAAGAGTAATGTTTTAATTGCTAAACTCTGTCATTTTTTGGATAATGAAATTACCTGTGTAAATTAGCACTGGATGCATATTTTATTTTTTAGTCACTTTTGACATGTTAATATTTGATATTGATGTGGTTATGTTTTCTAAACAAAATGAGTTGTGTATCAAAAGTGATTCATTTAAAAAATTTCTTAGAGAAAACAGACTTTTCAATACATTTTCTGAGAGTTAGGACTAATGACAGTCTCACCAGGATAGCAGAAGTGCTATACTAGAGATATAAATTGATGAGAAGGATTAAAAGAGCAAGAGCACTCACATTCACTTGAAAGAGGTAGCATTTGTGACAGATAACATTTCATAGGGTGAAAGGATATCAGATATAACAGAAAATAATCTCTGGACTAGTAAAAATGTCTTTACTTAATTATCTCAATTAAGTGTTAAAACCCATTTATATTCTGATGTTTTCTTGCTGTTTTTCCTAGCCAGAATAAAAAGAAAATCAAGATTTATCATTGTTAATGAAAGTCAAAGTTAAGTAATAGTGCATAATATGAATTAGTAGATTTATGATAGTTTATGCCTGTGTTTTTAATCTGTTAGTTGGGAGTGATAAGATTTTGAGCATCTTCCTTGAGTATTTGAAGATCTTTTTGTGATGAAGGTGTGAAGAACATTTTAATTTTATATCCCCTTTGAAATCAGTCTTTATGTATAACCTTCCCACTCCCCGTACATTATTTAAATTTTCCTTAAGGATTCCAGTAACCACTATTAACAGGAGTAACAAAAAAATTTTTAAATAGTTTCTGTGTAAACAGTACAGCTTGTAATTAAGAAGTAGTCTCTTAAGATTATAACTCTTTGTAATATTTCCCATCCTTTGAATGTTTCTACTTCCTAACTAGTTTATTGATGCTCTATTTCCTTTTTCTGCTTAAGACTTTCTTCTCATACCAGTATTCCTGCTCTGACTGGATATTTATACTTAATTTCTTTCTTACCTGTGTTGGAGTGGCATAAATATATTTACTAGATATATTTCCATGGCATTGATCAATTTCTAGTTGTTATTGAGAGAAGATAGATCAAATCCTTTGCATATAAATCTTACGCTATATAAGTTGGAGTTATGGTATGTTAGCTTTTCATGCATATGGTTATAAGTTATGAGTCCTACTGTTGAGAAATAAGTGTCTTATACTTCTAAATAGAGATTTGAATGACTTGTAAATAAAATTGTAGTACCTGGTAGTTATTTTAGTACTGATCTTTAGATAGCACTATGTACTACTTTGTGAGCTAAATTAGGGTGCAGTCTATATAATACTGTTTTTTAATGTATCAGACTACTACTTTAGCAACCCAGAACAGAAATAAGACTGCGTTATTTCTGTTTTCAGGTTTTTTTCAGTGCCCCTCTTTCACTCTGCCATGCATTCTTGTTTATTCCTGATTTAGGTTGCAAGTTTATTGTCCCGGATTGTGACAGATATATAAAAAGCTTATATTATTGTTGATTATGTAATCACTATACATTTCTAACAGCCTATCGATGACTAAGTTTATCAAAGATTATAATAGTTATATATGATAATTTTATTTCTATGCTTAATAACTTTAAATCTTGATGAAGTTATTATTAAAGAAGTGAAAAAAGAATTAGGCCCTTTGATGTCTTAGAATTACTAATGTAAGTTTCCTACAGGTCCTGATTATTATTCTTTCCATATTTCTAAAGTTGGAGAATGTGATAGATACTCCCATGCTTGGATATAGGTGGGGGAAGGGTTAAATAGTTTCCCATTTCAGTCAATAAAGTAAATTCTGACAATTTTTAGCAGAAAAAAATTTATTAAATGAATATTGTGGGAAAAACAGTAATGATTGGGCACATCTTCTGATTGTATACCAAAAGTAATCTGGCTTTTTTACTTTTAGCACTCTTTTTGAATACTAATGAAAAGGAATCTTTAACTGAGACAGTAAATATTAATTGGAGCAAATCTATCTCAATTACTGGAAAAAAATACATCACTGTCTCTCTTAGCCTTCAAATGCAGTGCCTATTAAAGTAAAAGACTAGATAGTTCAAAGATTCTCAGAAATGATTAGTGAACCAGGTTAACATACAAGAGTAAGACTAAATAGCTTGTTGTAGAAGATGGGAAGGTATCACTGGGCACTGATGCTACTTTGCACTGTGGATGTCCTTAATGCTAGATGATACAAGGTGTTTTTGCTTAATGTGCAATGAAGAATAAATCACAGCCAGGGGAAGAGGGTGGATCAAACACACATGTACCATATGGTTTTGAGAAATTGAAAAAAAACTTATTTTTTTGGAGTGGATGTAGTAGGATTTAAGAGGTCCATTAAGGCCTTTGAGAAATTCTAGAACAGAGATGATAGTAATCTGCACTAGGCTAATAATAAGAAGTAAACAAAATTGAAGTTTAGTAGAAAGAATTGATAGTACTTTCACTAAATTATGGGACTTTGACTACGATTAATAGAAGGGAGAAATTAGACACCAGATTTTTTTCCCTGATAATTAGGCAAATGGTAATATGATTTGTTGTGGAAGAAGGCCAATTTTGATAGAAAGGTAAATTTAGTTTTGGGAGTTCTTAATTGTGCATGAGTCGTTTAAATAGAAATGTTCAGGAGGAGACTGCATTTGAAAGTCTGAGGTCTGTGAGAGACAGCTGACTAGAAAATTTTGGAATCATGAATATGTAGAATAATGATTCTTAACCTTTTTTTCTGTTACTTTAGTAATTGTGGAGGTAAGGGAAGATGGGAAGATCATACTAAAATTTGCAAGTTTGAATTAATATGGTCTAGGAAAGCCTTTCTTGTATGCTTCTTTTTCTTAAGATCGGGCCTTAAATTCACCATGTAGCCAAACTGGCCTTGAATTTGTGATAATCCTCCTGCCTCAGCTTCCTGAGTGCCAGGATTACAGGTGTGCATTGCCATGCCCACCTCTTCATGTTTCTTGTTTTTGTTTTTGTTTTTTTTTTTAATATTCAGTTCCCAGTAGTCATCAAAAAAGATAAATGAAGCCATGGTAATAGATTGTGTAGAGATGAGAAAGTCCAAGTAAATAGGGGAACTTATATAGGTTATATAGAGGACTGAAAAGGTGAAATGAAAAAATACTAAAGCAGGAGGTTAGGATTCCTGAAAATCTAGAGAAGAACTTATTTGAGGACAGGAAGGTTAGCAGCAGGAGCAAATATTTCTTAGAGATCAACTGAAAAGTATACATTGGTTTAAGCAGTAAGTTAGGATATCAATGATTATAGTATATTTTAAATAATAGGAGTAGCTGTGATAGAGGATAAGTGATAAGGAAGCAAAGTTAGATCATTGTACACATTTTTTAGGAAGTAGCTATACAAATGTAGAGAGTAGATGGAGTAGCTAAAAGGGAAATGGTTTTTTTAAGGTTTTCTTTGTAAAACATGGAATAAAATGTTCTGTGTTCATGGGAAATGTCATGGAAAAGGTTGACAATGAAAGAAAGTAGCAGGGCTCGGGGGAATTGATTTTGGGACCTCTGTCTCTCTACAGATAATTGATGACTAGAGAAATCTGGAAGCAAAAGTCCAGTTAGAACTGTAGACTAGAGGAAAAAAAAAGCCAAGTTTGTGTCAAGGCTGTTGTGGTGTGGTAAATATGTAAAGTACTAGAAGCAGATATTTATAGGTTTTGCATAGTGTGTTTCATTAATTTTCTTTTTAAATCAAGAATGCTTTCAGTATGTTAATATGTTGCTGTTGAAATAAACAGCTTCACTCACAACTCTTACAGATTCTCAAAGGTCATCCAATTAGTGTTAAATTTGAATATATTAGGTTGTGCATTTGATTTCAAAATAGTGGTCTTAAAGACTCAAGTAATGTATTTATATATTTGTACAGTATTGATTTATGGTAAGAGTGTTGGTACATGGGAATTGTTACATGGGTTTTTACCCTTTAAATGGCCCCCCAAAAAATCACATTTTAATTTGGCATGTGAGAATTACTGATTGTTTTTACATTTCATAGGTGTGAAATAGGATATATTTGAAGTAGGTTAAAAATCCATTGATTTACTACGTTTGAGTGTACTTTTATTTCTATTTCTTCTAAAATACATGTATTTGGTCAAAAAGCCAGAAACTTTTCAATATGAGTTAAGAAAGTAGCTGTGATAAAATATTAATCTATGCTCTCTTTCTTTTTTTAAACACAGAAAAGCCTCCTAATAAAAGCAGTATGAGGATAGTAGTGGATTCAGAATCGAGGAAAAGAACAATAGGTTCTGGGGAGCCTGGAGGTCCTACAAAGAAGACTTGGTTTGATAAGTAAGCTGGCAGGGAAAACTAAAGAATTTTATTTTATACTGGTTTTTCAGATTGTAACTATGATTATGACCATATAGTATATTCTTTTTTTGAAAATGTTGGATTATTCTATCATATAGGCAATCTCCAAATAAAATGCATGTTATTTTCTAGGTATTTGTAGCTTAGTTGTTTGGAACTAGAAAAGCATTTTCTTATGCAGCTGATAGAATTTTTGAGGACATGATATTTCCTCATTGCACTTTCCTGAGAGAAACTATCCCTTACTTAAATATGACATTAAGTACTTATAGTATGTAGGAGGACACCCCCACTCCCCAGTTAGGGGAAAATGGCATATAGATCAGGTTTGGAAGAGAATTCAGCATGTAGAAAGTTCCTATTAGGAGTAAAATGCTTTCTGCAGGGTTGGAAACAATTAGGCATTCAGTTGTCAAGAACCTCCAAGAACAGTGTGTGGAAGCAGAATGTTGAGTTGGAGGGTATGATGATTCATTTATAAATTTGTATGTATTGAAAAAAACTACTACCACACCTCTTGAGCTTTAATTATAGATCATAGTTCTGCTTTGTGATTCTGTGATTTGAGGGAAGTCATTAGGCACACTTTTTCAGGTATTAATTGTATGTTGTGTACTTCTAACACATCTTTTTTTGCTTTTTTTACTAAGCTGGAAAAAGATTAAGGTGGTTATTCTTTGTATCAAAAACATTAAATTCAAAATTTTATCAAAATTTAAGAGAGGATACGTTTCAGAAAATTAGCTTATTCTGACACACAGAAAGATTTAATGTGCAAATTGACTGATAGAGTATACTAAGACCTTTCCAGCAAAAAATGTTAAATGAGAGCCCAAGTGTGGAAAGTACCAAAGCATATGCAGAGTCTTTATCAAGTGATTTCCATGAAAGATGTTAACACTACTAATTTGGGAATTTATTTGGAAGAAAATGTAAATTTCCTTTATCAACTAGTACTTTTTAATTTGAGGGCAAAAATTGGACTTAATTGAGTATTTACCTTACATGTAAAACTTTATTCCCTTTGTACTTGGATTTGGGATTCAGGATTTAGAAATGTGCTGATCAAGTTGATTTTTGTTTACAGACCAAATTTTAATAGGACAAACAGCCCCGGCTTCCAGAAGAAGGTTCAATTTGGAAATGAAAATACTAAACTTGAATTGAGAAAAGTTCCTCCAGAATTAAATAATATTAGCAAACTTAATGAACATTTTAGTCGATTTGGAACATTGGTTAATTTACAGGTATGCACCATGAAATGGTTCCATTGTCCTTGCTTAATTTAATGTAATATTGAAATTGCTTTATATAAAGAAATATTTTAGAAAATTTGTTAGTATTCTAAAGTTAAGAAATTGAGCATTGTGTCTGTTACTGTAATGAACAGTTCAGACCTTCCTGAGGTAGATAGAAAGTCCTTACCTGTCACATACTAGAGACTGGTAATTTAATAAAGAAAAGGAAGTATACTTTAGCTTACATTGTGTGGGCTGAAAGTTCAAGATCAGGTGATACTATTCATTTGACTTGTGATGAAAGTCTAAGACTGGGTGTTGCCTCAACAGTGGGAATGCCTGTTACAGAGAGAGGTTACGTGCCTCTCAAAACAGCCAAAAAAGCAGTTGAGTGGTTGAGTTCACTGGTTCAAGTTGAGGTGTCCATGAAAACTACCTATGTCCCTTAATTACTTCTAAGTGCTGCTTCCCCAGTGACTTAAGAGCTTCCCTACTGGGCCTTACCCCGAGAGGTTTACCCTATCACCAAAAACATCACCACAGTAATCACTAAGCCTCAAACACATACCACTTTGGGGAAAACACTCCAGCTGTGTCCAAACCATAGCAGGCATGAAATGAGGCTTTATCCTTTAGAAAAATGTGTGATTCTCTTTTTTTAATTTCAAAGGCAAGACTTTTAATTGATCATAGTAGGATACAATTTTTACCTAACTGAGGTAGCCATAAAATTATAGGAAAGTTAAATAATCATGCTGGCAATACCTAATATTATAGTAATTTTTAGTTCATTAATTTCTCAAGATTGTTTATTTTTGCCATTTCTGTGGTTGAATTTCTGTGGGGCCCCACTACTAATGGAGTCCAGATACTATGTAATCAGTAATCATTTTAAAATTTGTTTTTTAGAAAAGCATTTCTCGTAGTAAATGACAATAGTTTGTATTTGATGTCTCTTAAAATAAGACATTCGATTAGCAAATAGAATTGTGAGATTTTTTTCATATTATGTAATTTATATCATGAGTTAAAAGTAGAAACTGGAGGATAAAACTATTATTTCAACACTTCTAACATATATTGGGAAAGGCATGTTTGAGGTAGGGAAATTTTAAAAAGATGTTTCTTTTTCAACTTTCTATATTTTTTACCATCCCTTGTGTGTATAAAATTGCGTTATTGCAATTTACCATGTTTTGCTCTAGATTTTTTTATGTATAAACTTAGAAGTATCGGTAGTATTCATATTATCCTGTGGTTACTTAATTTTGTCTATCTTTTAATATCTTTGAGGCAATTCAGCTTACTGCATTTGTATCTAGATATAAAAAAGTTCCCAGTTTCTGATAAAATTAACTATACTGATAATAAAAAGGTACAAATATGAAAAAAATTTCAAACTGAGACAGAACATAGTATCTCCCTTTAATTCTCTTTGTTCATTTATGCATCTTCTCTTCATTGCTTCTTTTGCTGTATCTACATGTTATTGCATCATTTAAAATTCATTAAGCATCACATGAATTAAACATTGGTGAAACTTAAGCTTTTATATTCTAAAAATATATAATTATGAATATGCTGTCTAAAATCATTCTTAAATTATAACTGCTATTTATTGAATACTCTTTTCTATTATAAGTGAATTATTTGTTAAAACACCACTAAGAAATAGGTACTGTTCTGTTCCCACATATAGCAGAGGACATGAGCCACAGACAGGTTAAATGGCTTGTTTATGTGGAAGTCAGTCAAGGTTTGAGCCAAGCAATTTGATTTTTTGTGTTGCTGTACACTGGTTTATATATCACACTTTGGTAAACAGTGATATTATTGAGACTGTTGAAAATTTGGAGTGATAATCTCAACTTCTTAATTATCAGAATCATTTATTCCCTGAATCTCAGTTCCTTAGGTGTTAGATACAGTTGATGTTGTTTAGGGTTGTTCTTTTTTCCTCTCTCAGAGTTTGCTTGTGCTGTTTCAAAGTTATAAATCGGGGATGTTGTATAGATGATTTTTAATGTAATTTTGATCTCAAGATCACCTCTTCCAAAGGAGTGTACTCTTTTTGTTTTGACTCTTAACTATTGATTTTGGCCATATTACTCTTTGACTACAGGAATTATTTGTTGTATCCAGTATTAAAATCAGGGGTATAAAAAGAAACATTTAGATGCTCTGATTGCAGTTATAAAATGTTATATCCGGGTAAATGGAAGAGGCTTTTTCCACATTGTAAAGATCTTTGGTTACTGTTTCTCCTAGAAGAAAAGTACTGGTGATACTCTAGATACAAAGAAACATGAAAGTAGTCTCTTCCTTGAAAGGACCAGGATTTTATAACTTGAGGAATTTTAATGCATAAAGTATCAAATTCCTTTAGAAATTACTGTTCTGATATTTTAAATATTAGGTTGCCTATAATGGTGATCCTGAAGGTGCCCTTATCCAATTTGCAACATATGAAGAAGCAAAGAAAGCAATATCAAGTACAGAAGCAGTATTAAACAATCGCTTTATTAAGGTTTATTGGCACAGAGAAGGGAGCACTCAACAGTTACAGACTACTTCCCCAAAGGTAAGAGAGAAATTTTTGTGCAATTAAATACTTTTTTGGAGAACTCTTAGCATACTGTTTAAGAGCAGAGGCATTGGAATTAGGGAGATAATGAATTCATATTCCAACTTTCCTACTGTTAGCTCCATAGACTTGAGAAAGTTACTTTACTTCTGCAGCCTATTCTCTCCTTTAAGTTTGATGTTAATCCCTAATTCAGGGAATTAAAAGATGGTATATGTAAAATGTACAGAACAGTTACTGCAGATAAGAAACACTCAGTAAATATAGCTGTGTATACTCTATAAATTCAGATTATTGCTGACGATTTAGTTCAGTGGCACAAGTGCCTGCCTGGCAAGTGCAAGGTTGTGAGTTCGATCCCAATTATTAAAAAACAAACAAAATATTTAAACTGTGGGTTCATCTTAGAAATTATTCTTCATTCACCTCTCTGTTTCTTTTCTCCACCCTCCCTTATTAGTAGGCACATCAGAGTTATACTGTATAATGTTAGATTGATTGCATAGAGAAGTGTATTAATAGCAATTTTTGTTATTAGACAACAATGAAGGATAAATTGCATTTCGTCCTGTACTTTGTAACATTTCTTGCAAAGAAAACACCTATATATAGGTGTGAAGGGAATTGAAAAATATTTGGGTTTTGATTATAAGCTGTGTTTAAAAATTTTCTGTGTTTGAACAGTTGAGTATAAAATAACAAAAATTACTTTTGTGTCCCCCTAATCAGATTGTTTAAAATTCTTTTCTTATTCTGAGGTAATGCAACCTTTAGTCCAGCAGCCCATTTTGCCTGTTGTGAAGCAGTCTGTCAAAGAGCGATTGGGTCCAGTACCTTCAAATACTGTTGAACCGGCAGAAGCCCAGGGTGCTAGTTCAGACCTTCCTCAGGTAAATGGAAGATCCTTACCACATACTAGGTCCTCATATAATTACTGTCACTTGGTGATTTGAATTACAGTTCATTGTATATGTTTTTCACAGGAATATGATCTTTATGTAATTGATCCCCACCTGTAAGTTATTTACCGTAACATTTTCACTGTTGAAACTTTTCTTATAGTACTTAAGTTCTTCCATTCAGTTAATATTTAACGTATAAGAAAGATTTTTTTTTTCTCTGTGGAAAGATACATTTCTGTAAAACTGCTGGAAGAGTGAAATTTAGTACATTAAATCTTTATTTTTCCCATGATCTTTTTACTTAATTAAAATTCTTTTGTGCAGTAGACTGAAAGTTTTTGGGAAGAGAGGGCTTAAAATACAAAATTAAGCATGCTGAATATGACTGCTTCAGGTACTTAGGCAGCTTGCCTTGTATCACTTACATCTAATTCTGGGATTCTCTCCTCCATATATCATTTCCTTCCCACTTTGTCCCACTCTCGAGCAGCAGTTTCTTGTTTCTGTTCCTTCAGTCTTCAAAAGTTAGCTTTCTCTTTATTCCAGGTGTTTCGGGATTTGCTGTATAAAATAGGGTATAGCTTCCTACTTAGCTAGTAGATGCCACTTACTAGCTAAGTACTGTATGGGACACATTTTTAAGCTTGAGAAATTGACATCTTAATTACTCAAAATATAATTTAAAATGTACAAATTTTTTTACTTGTTAACATTGGATTCCAAAAATTTATGATTTCAGTATCAGTAGAAGGAACTTCAGCAATTACCTGGTTGAGACCTCTTGTTTTACATTGCAATTTTTCGTGATTGAATAATGTTGCATACTGTTTATTGCATACTGTTCATTTTTGTTCTTACATACACATTCCCTCCCTCCTCTCCTTCCCCTCCTTTAAAAATGCCCACATTTTTGTGACTAGCATCAGTATACTTGTAGAATTGATATTTATTAGTAAAATCAGAATGTTCAAAATCCCAACAGATTTATATATGTTTGGGGAAACACTGAATATGTCCATTTTAATTTTTTTAGAATGTAACTAAGTTATCTGTGAAGGACAGGTTGGGTTTTGTATCAAAGCCATCTGTTTCAGCAACTGAAAAGGTAAGAATAGCATGATGTGTTTGTCTTGGCTTCATAAATGTTTTCAGGTGGCATCTTAATTTTTAATTTTTTTCATAGTTCCAAACTCCTGCTTCTTAATAGTATGTGTATTTCTTGTACCTACCTTTTTGCTTTCCTTTTGCCGAAAAAGAAAAATACTAGCCTACTGTTATTTACTTTTTGCATCAGCATTTTAATATTTGCCTATTTCCATGTGCTTCATTCTTTTGGGTTTTCCTATTTATTTTCTTTTAGAGATACACTGTGTATTTGAATTTAAAGTTGGCAGTTTAATAGCAAGGGCCATAAACTAGGAATCTGACCTGACTTTGAGCCCTGACTCTTCACTTACTAACTGCATGATGTTGGGCAGTGCTTTTAACCTTTCAGTCTTTTCCTCATCCGTAAAATGGTGATGGTAATACTTGTCTTGCTAATGTGGTTTTGTGAAAATATTTTATAAATGGAAAGGGATGACATAAATGTAAGATTTTAATTATTACCACTTATTAGAGCTGTCGAATGGACCCTGACAGTATGTTTCATCATTTTTTTTACGTTGAAGGGATAAATACAAATTTTGTTAAGACCATTGTGGATCTGTGTAGATGTGGGGTTTTTTGTGTGTCTTTGTTTCATTATGTGTGAATGTTCTGATGTTTAGTTTCATTTGAGGTATGTGATATCACAGAATCTTACAATTAGATAACCTATGGCTCAAATAGTTTTATTAGTGATTTGTTCATACTCAGCCAGACTAGAATTTAAGTCTCTTATTTCTAGCCCATAACTCTTGCTATTCTGAACATTACAGAGGAAATTGACAATGAATGTAAACAAAATACTGTCTTGAGATAGGATGATATGCTGTCATCTCTTTGTTCTTAAGTATACCATTTCACTTAGTTTGTTAAACTTTGGTGGTTCTAGTAATTTGAATCTTGAGTTTCATTCCGTACATCAGATCTTTTTCTTGGGCATTTCAGTGTTTTTTCAGGTAAACATGTCTAAAATGAGTATTTCCCATGTAAATTAACTTCTAGTTTCCAGCTTCGGAAGTGATACCATCGTTTTCTAAGATAAATAATCTACAAGTCTCAAAATCTGTAATCCATTTCTTTTTCTCTGCTCCCTTTAATTCTCTGGCCATTGGGTGCAGTGTTTTATCTGGCATCTTAGAATTCCCTACTTTTATTTACATTGTTACTGTCTTATAGCTGGACATATTTTAAATAGCTCATTAGAGAAACTTTGAATTTCTCAAGTAAATTATTTTGCATAATTTATAGTGTATTGATGTACTTCAATTATTGATTGTGTTTCTTTTACTTTTGCTGTGGTTTTCTTTTCTGCTCTGGGGATCATTTTCTGTTTATTCTCCCTTGTCCTTTCTTGTCTTTTTCTTTTTTTGGTGATGATTTTCTTCAAGTGCATTTTCTCCTGCCTAAATTTTAGTCATTCTTTAAAAAAGACTGAAGATCTCATTAATGTTTGCCATGATGCCACTATACTTTTCCATGTAATATCCTTTTCAGAATTTTTGCATTAGTTAGTTTATGCTACTAAATTTAGCAGCATCAGATACTTACTTTGGTTAGGTTTATCTTCCTTGATTATATGTAAATTGGAAATTTTAAGTACTAAGATCTGTTACACTGAGTGTACTACTGAGCAGTTTTGGAGACATATGAATACTACCTATTTGTATTTAGGGTTTGTTTACATCAAGATTTCATATTGACTTCTGTGCTACTTACAGCTTTTACACAATTTTCTTAGCATGTTTAGATACTGCTTTCATTGTTAGGGTCTTTTATTAAGCTTTAAAATAAAATGACAGAATTTATAATATATTCTAATATATATTACACTAATATAATAGCCACTAACTGAATCTATGAAAGTCAGTAGTAACAACAGGATAATGATGGAAAAAATTACTTGGTAAAGATCTCTTAAAGAAAATATTTATGTAGAATGTGCCTTGGTCATTTTGGTGAGTTTTTGTAGCATTTTATTTTTGTTTATTCTTAGTTGTTTGTAGAGGGTTTTAATGCAGACTCCTTAGAGGCAAACATCCAGAGAATCCTAGAAAACTGTTCCCTATCAAGTATTATTTAAACATTTTTTTTTTCAAAATTGAAAAGGGTAGACTCAAAGCTAGTATCTGTACAATGTCCTCTGTTACTGTTAAGTCAAATAATCATATAAATGAAACCTTTTATACTCCCTCCTTTAAATAATATCCATGAAACCCTCTTGTGATTATTCTTTAAGATTACATGCTGTTAAGAGATTGTAGTTGATACTGGCTTACTTAAAGCTTACTTAAGTAAATATAATTGTTGAAATATTTGTAATTTAGGCTGCAGAATTTATGAAACATAAAGATAGTGGATATATAAACCATCTGGTTACTTTTTAGAAAAAGACGTTAGATTGTTCAAATTATCTTGCACTAAAGCCTTTCTACAGTTTATGAAGGTAAACTGAATCATCAGTTACATATTTAAATCCTTAAATTATCAGTTTTAGATGGTCATAATGCAGGATAATACTGTTTTTAGTGGATTTTTACAGTGTAAAAATGCATCTTGGTCTCATTGTGATTTGTGAATAAATTTTGTACCACAAAACTTTTGAAAGAAAATTATGTGATATAATTGGAGAAATATTGCATGTCACCATTATAGAAATATTTTGTGGTTTCATAGCTGCCATTGTATATGATGCTGAATGTCTTACAGTGAGTTTCTTTAGTTGTAAAATGGAGATGTTCTGATACCCCTTTAATTTTTCAATTTGGATTTTTTAATATAATTTTACTATTTAAAATGTAAAGATTAAGGACATTTTGTGATTTTTTTTTCTTATCTCTCATAATTGTTACTAGTTTTTTTTTTTTTGTAAGCATTGTCCTCTGTCAGTATTATTATTTAGATTTTTTTTTATTAACATGTAAAAGTATGCAGAACTTTTTGGGGACTGTAAGGTGTTGTAGCAAAAATTTATTACTGACTGTACATAGTTTTTCCTGTGTTACAATATTTCTAGGAACATTAATCCCTTTGTTGTTTTAATCTAGTTGATACATGGAATCTAAAAATGTTGAATAAATGAAAGCAGAACAGAGTGTAGATACTGAGGCTAGAGGTCTAGGAACTGAAGATATGTTAGTCAAAAGATAAAATTAATTAGGTAAAAGGAATAGTAAGTTTAAGAGATAAATATAGCTCCATTGCTACAGTTAATAACAATATATTGTATTCTTAAAAATTGTCCAGTAGATTACCGAATTCTTAACACAAAATCTATGAGCCAATGCAAATATTACCTGTTAGCTATTTAAAAAGACATATACTCGAAGAAAGTATATTATACAGGATAATTATACACAATTTTTGTCAATTAAAAATCTTTTTAAACAATATAATGGAGTTAAGTTGACGTAGAGTATGACTTCTTGAAAGAAAAATTCCCAGTTAGGCACACTTGGTATAGAATGTATATCTGTATGCTGCTGAAATAGAATATTATAAAGGAACATTTATTGAACAGATGATAATCTAATATAAAATTTATCATACAATAATTACATTAATAAACTTTTATACTTCACTCCTCAGATTTCTTTTTATTGCCTTAAAATGAAATTTTTTTTGCTTTATTTACCTATTATGGCTGCTTACCGCATGGCTTTTAAGCATCATAACTGCATTTCTTTTGCAATAAATTGCAGTGCGGGCATTAGTTATTAAAAAATGACACTTGAATGACATAATTTGCAATAATTTTGTAATTTTTTACAAATTCTTAAGAGAAAAGTTGCTTTTCTCTTTGATTACAAGTGCTTTTAGTAGTTATGGCTGATAATATTTTAAATAAGAAATTACAAAGATATTAATGGATTATACTTTCTATCATTAAGGTATTGATTGTTGTCTTGGAATATTAGAGCATAAGTGATACACATGATGATGTTCAACTTCTGAGTTTAGAATAATTTGGTGCCTGGCTGACAAAGATGAATAAGAAAGGAAAATTACAGCACAATATCTCTCATAAACACAGGCACAAATATCTTAAATAAATTATTGCCAAATGTCCAGTGGTACATAAAATACATACTATATCATGGCCAAGCAAGGCTTATTCCCCAGATTTATGGCTAATGAAACATTAGAAATCAGTTTAATTAACTTATTATTTATTAACATAATAAGGAGACTTACGATTTTCTACATAGAAAAAGCATTTGAGAAAATTCATTGCTTTGTTAAATGGTGTAAAATGAGAGTTAACTTTTATTTTGATGCCTAAAAATTTGTACAAGCAACACATGCCTCTCAGCAAACATTGTATTTAGTGGTGCAGTACTGAATGAACGTCTTTTCCTCCAAGGATGTCCACTGTCATCACATGTTTTCAGTATTGTACTGGAAGGTTTAAACAGTTCAATAAAATGCAAAAATGAAATAAGCAGTATAGAATAGAAAGGAAGAAACAATACAGTTCACTTACAGATGATATGACTATCCAACATAATTCACAGATAGTTGGGTTTAATAATGTAGATCATTGGAAATAAACTGCTTATGTAAGAATTACAGTACTTGCAGTCTTAGTTACTTTTGTTGCTGAGACAAAATACCCAACACCCAAAGTTAAAGGAGCAAAAGTTTATTTAGACTCAGTTTGTAGCAGTTTCAGTCCATAATCAGCTGACTCCATGGCAGGGGGGACATCACAGAGGAGAAATAGTTCATGGCAGACAGAAGATAGCTGAAGCAGCAAGCAAGCAGCAAGCAACAATTCTCTTTTTGTCTCATGTATTACATCTTTGTCCTTGGGGCAGGTAGTACTCACAACCAGGGTGGTGCACCCTTAATCCTGTCTAGAACTGTGCCAAATCAATAGTGGACTAATTTAGTAATCACACAGTCTTAATCCCAGCATCATACACTGGATCCAGCCACTTAGGAAAAAGCTCCACCTATGACCACATGAGGCTTTGAGGGGACATCTAGACATAAGCTGTAACATGCAGAAAACCATTCTCAAAATACAGAAGGTGTGATTATTTGGAAATAACCATTGCTTAAGCTTTGACTATTAAGAATTTTAGTGTCTTTTTTGTTGGTGTTTCATTTCTCCATTAATTTCATTTTTAATAAAGTTTTGTCATTTAAAAGGACACATTTGTTATTGTCCAAACTCTTAGCCATCTGAACTTTTTTTATTGCTAGATGTTTGCAATAAATGAAATTCATTGTGGGGAATGGTATATTATCTGAAGTCGAAGAAAAATTTAAATCCTGAACAGTGTTTGTAATCATAGAGCATGTTATTTCAAATCATAATTTAACACCTTTGAATTTGGGCTGCATTTTACAGTTGTTGGTGTTTATGATTGTATCCTAATGGTAGGCTTTTTTTTTAATTGTTTGGGCATATAAAAGAATATATTTTAAAGAGTCCTTGAAGTTTAGGCTCAGTGAAATATGTTATTGGATAGATATCCCATTTATACAGAAGGAAGTTATTGGATGGGGCTTCTTCCAGGAATAAAGGAGTTTCATCCTTGTCAGATAATTTTATTTCCTTTAATGGTGCACTTCTTAGTCTCATAAGGATGCTTTGTAAAGGCATGTTCCTTATGTAGTGACTAGAAATGCTAGGTTAAATACTATATGACTTTCTTTGTTTCTGAGTTTCTCACTACTTTCATTATTTTAATATGTGTTTGACATTGGAAAAGAAGGTTATGACATTTACTGTTTCCAACTTATTTGAGTATAAAAAACTGTTTTTGGTCACTTTTTAACCTGTTGTGGAATCCTCATGAAGAAAACTATACTCAGACTCTTTTTCAGCATCCAATATTGTGTTTTTCCCTTGATAGAGTTACTGTTTCTCCTGTTTCTCCTCTATGTAATACAGTTTGGCATTTTGTATTGTAACAGCATGACAGACATTTTTCTTCAGAATTATAGACAGTGGTCACTAAAGTTAGACTGTAAACTAAATCTGCTGGTATCTTAATGCAACCATTTCATAATTCCTGTTGATATATATTAATTTTTATCATTGAAGAAAATTAGATTTTGGTACATATCAACTATTGTTAAGAGCTTTTGTTTTTAAACATTAGTTGCAATGTATGGAACAACTATGATTACAGTTTTTTAAGCTTTTATTTCTTCTGGAGACTGAGTTACAGTGATGGCAAATGTTTTAAAGGAATTGATTGATTGATTGATTGATTGATTGATTGTCTTTTTTGCACAGGGTCTCACTGTGTAGTTGAGGCTGGCCTTGAGCTCACTTGACCAGCAAAGGCTGGTCTGGAATTTGAAGTGACCCTCCTGGCTCAGGCTCCAGAGTGTTGGGATTACAGGCCTGCACCGCCCAGCAAAGCTTTTATATAGTTAAAAATAAGGCTGTTTTTTTCATTGATAATCTTTCATTTATATAGTTCATTACCATTTTCAGATCATGGACTCCTTAAAGATTTTACAAACATCATTTTCTTCTGGAAAGTACAGTTTTCATACACATGGGTTTATGATTAGATTTTACAGCATTCATAGATCTTCCTGAAGAGATCCCTAAGCTTTTTTCTAAGAACCAGGGATTCCCTCGCCACTACCGCCATGGAATATAAAGCTGGTTTATTTTATTTTATTTTATGTAGTGTAGTGTAGTTTAGTGTCATGCAGAGTCTTGTTGAGTGGTTCAGGCTGGCCTTGAGTTCACGATGTAGCTCAGGCTGTCCTTGAACTAGAAGAGATTCTCCTATCTCCAGCATCCTGAGTGCTGGGATTACAGGTGTACGCCACCACTTCTGGCTCATTTTGCTTTTGAAGAGAATAGAAAAGCAGCCTATAAATACTTACTAAAAAGTTAACTTTTTTGTAGGAATGGTGGTCTAATCTAACCTACAATCATTTCATTTTAATTTACTGACACATTGTTTATATATTTATTATGAACCCTGACACTGTTCTAGGTACTGAAGATAGAGCAAGGATCCAAGGAAAAAATAATCCCTGTTCTCAAAGAGAGAAATTTGGAGTTTATAAAGATGTTAGACACCATCAAATTGAACCTCATTTTACTGATAGACATCCTGTAGCCTAACATGGTACCTGGTCTTAGATCTCCAAGTTCCTTAGTTAGCAAGAGTTAGGTACTGGAGGCACAAAAAGAAGTGATCTTTTTTTTTGGTACTGGGAATCAAACTCATGACCTTGTGCTTGCCAGTCAGGTGCTTACGCCAGTGAGCTAAAGCCCTGGTCCTGAAATGGTCTTTGTTTCAAGACTCTTAGAGTGTGACAGGGAGAAGGACACATCAGTTAATATACCATTAAATCATTTTTACTAAATAGCTAATAGTAGCTAAAAATAGCTAAGAAGACTTTTTACCTAATACAATTTCATGTAAAGGATCTGTTTAGAGAAGTGAAATTATTATGGTTTTGCAGTCTTGATTGTGTTAAGGCTGAAACCTGAGTAAGTTTAAGAGAGTAAGATCACTTCAAGTATGGAATGTAGTTAGCAAAGGAATGGAGAGTTAGTGCATTTATTTCATAGCTGTTGTGAATGATCATGTTAAATTGAAGAGCAGCTTTAGTGCCAAGGTTTTTTTGCTTTAGTTAATGGTAGTGATTATATTTCCATAAAGGTTCACTAATTGGAAATTTTTTTCATTTTGGGCTCTTGTATATTACTTTATATTACCAAGTGTAGTTAAATTATTATAAGCACATAATACATTTTCTTTATTGTGTGAATTTTGAAGTTGAGTTTTCCGTAGAAAATCGGGCTTAGGAAATTATGAATAGTTAATAAATGTTTTAAGAAATAAAATTTGTATTGGTAGGTGTTGTCTACATCTACTGGCCTAACAAAGACGGTGTATAATCCAGCTGCTTTGAAGGCTGCACAAAAAACCTTGCTTGTTTCCTCCCCTGCAGTTGATAATAATGAAGCACAGAAGAAAAAACAGGTAAGTTCAGCAACTATAATGCACAGATAGAAATTGCATATGGGTAAACTTTTTGTGTGTTTAAGTACTTATCACAGTAAAACTGAAGATTTTGTTTTGGCTGCTACTGAAAATTTGTCCCCTTTGTGTGGCAGTATTTTTTTTCCTTTAATAGAATATTCCTGGTTACTCTTTGAAACTTGTATACATGTTTAAGTTTTACATATAATTTTGCATGTATTTTTTTTACTCAGCTGCTATAGTTACAACTACTTTTCTCCTCTGGAGTTGTATTTTCACTAATGATATTTTGATTCCTGACTCTAGGAGGCACTGAAACTTCAGCAGGATGTAAGGAAAAGGAAACAAGAAATTTTAGAAAAGCACATTGAAACACAGAAGGTAAAATATTAAAGCTAAGATCTGGCAAAATGTACTCTACAAATGTTACGATTTTTAGTGAATTTAATCTTAACACTATATAGCTAGTTTGGAGAAACAGATTTAGTTAATTGGTAATGATAAAAGTGAAATGCTTATCAGTGACATTGCATCATCAGTGTTATGTATTAACATTACATATTGGAGATGAAGAACATACATTAAATAATGAACATAGTGAAGGTTAATGGAACTGTGGCTAGCAACATAAAAAATATATTGGTGCACAGTAGTTTAATCAACACATAATGAAAGAGAACTTTCTTAATGCTGTTGTGCATTTCTATATTGGCTTGAGATCCTCTAGCCCTGTGCTAATACAGTAGGCAAAGCTACATCTGCCTATTGAGTATTCAGAGTGTATCTAGTCCAAGCTGAGATGCAGGTAGAAAATACACACGAACCTTTAAAGGTATAATAGAGGAAAAAAAGTAAAATATCTCAGTAATTTTTGCTTGAATGTAGTGTTTTGAATATTTGAGATTAAGTAAAAATATTGTCACTCTAATTTTACTTATCTTTTTAATGTAAATACTTGACAATTAAATATTATGTGGTTGATACTATTTGAGCAGTTTTGCTATAATTTATGACATTAGTGTCACTTCATTATGTCTAATAATGGTTAGAACATTTGAAAACATAGAAAATACATTTCAATTAGAAATGTATGTCTTTTCTAATTTAAATTTGGATGTGTTGTATAAAGAGAAATGATGCTTTGCACCAAAAATTAAAGACATCTTAATTTAAAAAATGTATAACACTGTGTGCTTTCTTCCACATACACATATTATCTTGCTTATCTTATTTCCTGTCTTTGTGTTGAGGATATCCTTCTCAGGCTAACCAACCATTATTCCTTATGACAAAGAAAATAATCATAAATTCAATATTTGTAATTTCTTGTTACATTAAAGAAGCACTACATATTTCCTTCTCTTTTTTTCTGGCTTGCACACTACATTTGGAGTGAAGAGGCATCATAACAAATGAATTAGAAAGTAAAATTGATATTCCTATAACTTTTCAGGGATTGAACTGAATTCTTCCTGTTATGTGCTTTGAACTTAGGTACTGAGGGAACTAAATAGTAAGTTTTTTAAAAGTAAAAGCAAATGGGGCTGGGGATTTAGCTCAGCAGCATAAGCGCCTTCCTTACAAGCAGGCAGTCGTGAGTTCGATCCCTGGTACCGATAAAAACGAAAAAGACAAAAAAAAAAAAGTAAAAGCAAACAAGTAGTAAGACTTGAATTGAGATACTGTTAACTTCACCAAATCTGCTCTTCTGCTGTCTTTTTATACTGAGTAGTAGTTAGCTTTGTCATGAATACATGAACTAAAAGTAGTAGTATTTATTTTATTATTTTGCCTTGTTAATAATAGTATCTTCTGACTTTTCTCTTTAAACATTGGAAGATGTTAATTTCAAAACTAGAAAAAAATAAAACAATGAAGTCTGAAGATAAAGCAGAAATAATGAAAACTTTAGAAGTTTTGACAAAAAATATTACCAAGTTGAAAGATGAGGTTAAATCTACTTCTCCTGGACGCTGTCTCCCAAAAAGTATAAAAACCAAGACTCAGGTATGGTTATTCATATTATTGCTTATTTTAAAACATTGTTTTTATTATTTTAAAGCATTGTTTTTCTAAGATTCAGTTTTAGGTAATAACCTTTGTATAAAATCTGACCATTGTGAACTTTACTAACTTTTTGGGTTCTTGTGAAGCTACTGTTGGAAAATCAGGAATAAGAAAAAATAATTATGGGTAATTTTGAAAAGATAGTTTAAGGATTGAATGATAGGATACTTAATTGTTTTACAAGGGAGTTTGATCTGTACAAGTAGTTGGTGATACAGAAGATTAATGACAGAAGTAACATTTAAAAAAAATTATTGGTACATTTTAGATACACATAATGATGACATTCATCATAGAGAATTTGTAACTGCACTTGATATATCTTGATTCTTTTCACCAAATATCCTCTCATCTCGTCAATCTTTTTTCCCTTCCTTCCTGCTTGCCTTCCTTCCCCTTTCCCCCTTCCTCCTCCCTTGTTCCTCTTCCTATTTGAACCTTTTCTTCCTGTTTCACAATAACTGTTACACATTTTGGTCTTTACCCTTTCAGTTTCTCACTCCAGAGAAACATTGTGGTATTTAAACATTATGTCTGATTTATTTTATGAGAAGTAACTTTCTAATAGCACTATACAAATGGATTGATTAGAAAGAAGAAAATTTGAGATTAATCTGTTAGGTACAAACAAGTAAGCAAGATAATTTCAGATAGTAAAAAGTGGTTAAGACTAATACAAGATTATACACTACACTTAGTATATGTATACTTGCTGTTTTGGTATATGTAAAATCAATATTGATATTTCTGACTTTAATCCAGCATCATATGATTTCACTTTTTATCCCATATTATATGTGGCACTACTGGCATCAGTGTATTGTTCATTGACATCACCTCTATCAAATTCAAAATAGTTGTGAAATAACTTCCAATAACTAAATTTAAATTCTTCATTTCTTTCCAATCTTTACACACTCAATGTATTCCACTTAAGTTATAGGGTCAAAACTGGTCTAGGATTACTTTTGTTGCCATGATAATGGTATATTATCAGTATGATAAAATTAGATCTGCTTCTGTTTCTATTCAGTTCTGATTGCTCGTCCCCATGCTACAATTCTTATTGACTTAATTTTACTATTTGAATAAATAAAACATTAGCATGCTTTAAAAGCCAAACTGTATAAATAGGTGTATGTAGAAGTCCCTTTTGATTCCTGATACTCCTATTTATTGCCTCTTGATAATTGGTGTCATTAGTTTTTGATTTGTCTAGTAGGGGTGTGTGTGTTATTTGTGTGTATATGCATAATATAAACATGCATTTGTGTATATTCTTACCTACATAAAAACATGTTTTATATTGCTTTTTAGCACCTTGATTTTTGTTTTCACAGTTACATCCTGAAATTACTCCATTTCAGTCTATAGAAAGCTCACTCTGGCTGCTGTACAGAATATTAGTCATACGGCAGACAGTATGAATAGAAATCAGTTAGAATGCTCTTGCAGTGTTATTGACCAGGAGTGGTTGATACTTTGGGTTAGAGTAATAGTACTATCAATAGAATTAAAATGTATGGTCTTATTGTTGCTGAGACAGAATACCCCAACATCCAAAGTTAAAGGAGGACAGGTTTATTTAGCTCACAGTTTGTAGATGGTTTGGCAAATAGCAGAGGGCAACAGTTCATGGCGGAAGACAAAAGCAAAAAAATAAGAGCCAGACAATCCTCTTTTTGCCCCTTTTATTTTACATAGACTGCTGTGATTAGGGTGGTGCCAGTCCAGTCAGTGAACTGAACTAGCAATTATCCTTAATCCCAGTACCCTTAATCCTAGCGTTGCACTATGTATCAGTCACAAACTAGATTCAGCCACCTCCAAAAAAGCCCTATGACTAAATGAGACTTTGCGGGGAGATCGAGGCACAAACCATAACATGGACTATGGAATATATAAAACGATAAATTCAGATTATTTTCCAGGAATAAAGTTTAATGTCAGATACTGATTGTTTCCTAAAATGTTAATTCCTATTTTTTAGATGCAGAAAGAATTACTTGACACAGAACTGGATTTATATAAGAAAATGCAGGCTGGAGAAGAAGTCACTGAACTTAGGAGAAAGTATACAGAATTACAGCTGGAAGTATGTTTAATCACAGCTAAACCATAACCTGATAAAAAGTAGATGTAGTTGTAGTGGCTAACTTAAAAATGTGTGTCTTTTGTTTGAGTCAAAGATTATTGACATAGAGAAGATAGAGGTTAACAGTTTTTATTTTCAGAACTACAATAGAAAAATCTTAATGAGGAGAGGTAGTGATTCTACCTATATGTTCAAGTCTTTTCATTTTTAATGAAGTTTGTCTTCCTTTTCTTGGTCTCTCTTCAACTAAAACCCATTAAAGGCTTTTAGGTACTATTATGGTGATATCTTTGCATATACAGACTTATATTGAATTGCTGTGAAGGAGCTGATATATTTAGGGATAGAACTATATTGAAAAGTGTGCTTACTTAAGTTTTACCTATAGATGGTGCTGCAGGTGTTTTAAAAGAGAAAATAAAAGTACTTTCCTATAATTTAGTTGCATGATTATTTATATGAGAAATCTTAGCAAAAGAGTTCCCCCCACTTATCTACACAAAAGGGTACCCCTAAAAGGGTAAAGACCAAAATGTGTAACAGTTACTGTGAAACAGGAAGAAAAGGTTCAAATAGGAAAGGGAACAAAAGGAGTAGGGGTAAGGGGGAAGAAAGGAAGGGAAAAGGTTTGTGTAATATGAAATGAGAATTTTTAATATTAGCAGGAAGATTTAAAGTTAGAGTTACATTTTGAAGTACAGAGACCCTAATGGCATTTATACATTAAGGATACGTCTTTATTATTTGTCAAAATAATTTAAAGTTTTTGGGTATTATCATTTAACTTGACGGTAATACTTTTTTCAGATTGTTTTTGTTTTTCCAACATAGTAGAAATCCATTGAGTACTATAATACAGGTATTAAAAAACTTAACTTTAAGCAGCCTTTCAACTTGTCTTAAAGCCCTATCTTGTCTGAGAGTCAGAAGCAGCTTAGGCTATTGTTCTAAACTTGCATTTGTTTGTATTCTCTGGAAACTTTTAAGTTATGTGTGTGTCCTATATATGATACAGGGTTTCAGATTTTTTGATGTTAATGTAGAAATTGTGCTTTCCCATTCTGGAGATTTCATGTCACATGGCATAAAAAACAAAACATCATGTAAAAATTCTGGCCTATTGTTAAAGTAAGTGATGGCTTTTTTTGCTTTTTGGTAGTAGGAATCAAATTCACAACCCTGTGCTTGCCAGGCAGGTGCTGTGCCTCTGAACTATATCTCTGGCCCCTAATGGCATTATTTAAATTTGTTATTAGTTGATGTTTTTCTTCCTACTATTATATAGCTAAATACTAAATAAGAGTTTCTGTTTTTCTTTTGATAGTTTGAGTTTATCTTACCGTTGGTGGTTGCAATCTTACAGTTTTCCAGTGGGTGCCAGCTTACCACAGTAATTCTATTCATTTTTAGAAGAAATTAGTGAAATCGAAATACTCTAGAATCTAAAACCTTAAATTTTGGGTTTTTGGATTAGGGATACTCTACCACTACAATCTATGCAAATATTACTAAATCTAGAGAACTCCAAAATCTAAAGCAATTATGAACCTAGACATTTCACATAAATGATAATTCTAGTTATAAAATTGTTTAAACTGTGTGTCTGATCTCTTCTAGGCTGCTAAGAGGGGGATTCTTTCATCTGGACGGGGTAGAGGAATTCATTCAAGAGGTCGAGGTGCTGCTCATGGTCGAGGGAGAGGGCGAGGCCGAGGGCGAAGTGTGCCTGGTCATGTTGTGGTGGATCACCGTCCTAGAGCATTGGAGATTTCTGCGTTTACAGAGAGTGATAGAGAAGATCTTCTTCCTCATTTTGCGGTACTTTTTTACTACCCACCAAAACCAATACTGATAATCATTACTGGAGATAATTGGTATAAAGAGAAAATTATGAAAACATGAGTGATTTAAACTCTGACATAAACATAGGGTTTGATTATCCATATTAATCTTTTCAAAAACTATAAATTTGAAACAGTACAATTTTTTTAATTATCTAGAAATACTGAGTATTCTATACTGAATATCTTATACTGAGTAGGTCTTCAAATATTATGAAGTGAATGATTTAATACTCATTGTTTCAGAAAAGGCCTGCCAGTAGTTTAATTTTGTTTGATGATGTTTACTTTTACAGGTTATATGAGCTATCCAGAATATTTTAAAAAATTAAAATGGATTTTTATTTGTTAGTTTTGTGGTCATGGTCCATTTCACCAGAATTGAAACAAGACAACATTTTGATTTATCATCTCAAAATTGTCTTGGTCAGTTGAAGTTTGTAGTCAAGAGAATCTATCTAAAGGTAATAGATTGACTGAATGGAGTCTAATGCATAGTTTAACTTGAACTTAGATTCATTAGGTTTCATGTACAGAATAGAAAGGATTGCTCTTTCATCTTAAATGTTGTGTTTCTAGTGATACCCTAAGGGTTAGTAACTAAGCATCAGTTTTATCCTCAGCATTATAGTAATTACTCTGGAGATATGAAGCAAATGATTTTTCTACTCTGAAGGCTTTTATATGTATTGATTTAACATAGACCCATTAAAGTAAACCATAAACAATTTATAATGAATTTCAATTTATTAAATAATACGAATGTTTTAGTAACTTCGAGAAGCATCTTTGACCCTGACATATGATGGATAAAAACAGTAGAGGAAAGTTTTAAGCAGGTAGTAAACTGGACATTAGATTATGAAAGAAAAGTAAGTTCCTAAATAAGTATATACATGTTTAACCTTTTGAAAATTTAGATTTCAGTGTTTGACAATCTTAGTCCAGGCTTGCAGCAATTAACAGATACTCTGTCAGAACATAGGGAGATATTAAAAAGAAATGGTTAATATTTAAGAAGTAACTAAAATGATTAATATTTAAAGATGAGGAGTCTGGAGTGCCCTGTGCTTGATGGAATCAAATGGATAAAGAGAGAAATCAGAGAACTAGAAAAGAGCTTGCAGATAATCTAACCTAGTTCTTCCCTCCTATGAACCCCTCTCAACACCTTCCACAAAGGAAAGGAGATCTAGATAACGTGTCTTGCATATAGTTATAAAGCAAATGAGGAAACTAGCAGGGACTATATTGAAATATCCAAATAATAAGATGAGTTTGTTATGATTGTGTTTTGGCGAGACTAAGATGACTTTGATTTGAGAAAAAATTCAGTCTCTCAATGGAAATTTTTCCATCCATGTTTGAGATTTCAGCTCTACTCAGAAGTTAGCAGTGGCATTTCACATTTGAAAATTATTAGTCTTAAATAAGAGTTGAAGTTTAAAGTTTAACTTCTCTAGTTCAGTCTATAGTTTGAACCCAAGAGGGATTAGAGGAAAAAAATTAACATTAAAGGACCATTGACTGTTACAAATTATAATTAATATAATGCTAGTTTTATACATTGGGGCCAGTAATAGTAGTAATAAAACTTAAAACTAAAATTTATAAAGTCCATTTTATAGCAGATGTTATTCTGAGTAGCTTAAGGCTTAAAAATAACTCAATGTTATTAGGTTTTGTTTGAACCACCCTATGACATAGGTATCTTTATTATGCTCAGTTTAGATGTGATGAAATGAAAAATGAAGAGACTACGTAACTTGTGACAGTTTACACAGCTAACTACTAGAGCTGGGATAATGGCTCTAGGTCCATTCTTTTTACTGTGCTGTACAGAATTTTCCTCTGTGGGAGATACATATGTATTTAATGAAATCTTAATTTTATTTTTCAATACAGAGGAATGCATTAATAAAGGACAGTGATATAAAGTTTATGTGATAAAAGTTGTAGAAAACTCTTTGTATAGGAAGGGGAAAAATCCAAAATGTAATAATCCAGAAACAGGCATAATATAGTATGTTTAGCTTTTAAGTGTCCAAAAAGAGTATATGTTACAGCAGAGTATATAGCAAGTGAAAGCATAGAATGTTAAGCTTTTGATTCAGGAGGCCTGGACTCTCATCTTGGTAATTTATTACTTTGAGAAAATGACTGAAATTCTCTTTAAACCTTTCCTCCCCCCGCATTTATTAGAAATGATTTGAAAAAAATCAGAAAATTTCTGAGGATTCAGTATACTGCTTATGAAACAATTTAACTTTTTGAGAGTGGAGTAATAAGTATAAATGAAAAGTCAGTAAAGAAGCTCGGATTTGACCACTGGCTTTGTTTAAAGTATACTTTAACTGAAAATGTTCCACTAATTCAGGAAAGTGTATAATTAGAAATGATTAAAAGATAGGGCCACCCTTTGTCTAACAATATTAAATACTAAAATGAGTTATTCATCATTCTTTTCTGGGAACTTATATGAATTGTTACATATTCTAGGTTATACTTACAAGTATTTTAATGCCTTTGAGATTTTTGGATGTTTCAAAATAATTTGTTTGAAATAAATACTCTTTTATATTTAAAGCAATATGGTGAAATTGAAGATTATCAGATTGATGATTCGTCACTTCATGCGGTAATTACATTCAAGACAAGAGCAGAAGCAGAAGCAGTAAGTAAAATAATTTATCAAAAATTCAAAGGATTGATATTGCCTTTAAGTTTTAATTTAAAGGAATTTTAAAATATACTGAATAAACTGCATCTTCACAAGAAGTGGAATATTTAAATTCATGCCCACAAAGAATATCTTAACATGATATCATTGGAACATACATATATATAGTTAATCACCGATTTGAATGTCAAATTTTATCGTCTGGAGACATTTAAGAAATCTGTCTGTCCTTCCTTCCTTTCTTCCTTCCTTCCTTCCTTCTTTCCTTCCTTCCTTCCTTCCTTCCTTCCTTCCTTCCTTCCTTCCTTCCTTCCTTCCTTCCTTCCTTTACAGGAATTAGGACTATCCTCCTTTCCATTACTCTTTTTTTTTTCCAACTGCCCCAGAAAAAATTCTACTTGGCAGAGTACTCAAGTGGTAAGGGTTAAGTTAGATGCAGGGAGAATAAAATCTTGAAGTCTACCCTTCTTTCTTATTCCTCATGTGCTGTTTCTGAGCCCCAAGAGACTGAATTCTGAAGTATCACTAGCTCAGCATACATTCAAATAGACCATTACAGTTTGCCCAAAATATAAAGTAATAGCTTTATCTTTTAGAATATTCTTTACTATAGTTTTTTAAATTGTGTAGCTTTTTTTTTTTTGTACCGGGGATCGAACTTATGACCTCACGTTTGTCGGGCAGGTGCTTATGCCACTGAGCTCAATCCCAAGCCCCTTAAATTGTGTATCTTGAATTGTCTTTCCAAAGGCTAACACCTACATCTTGTCTTTTGAGTTTAAAAGGTTGATTTAAGAAAAAAAAAAAAAAAAAAAAAAAAAGTGAATATGGGGATTCATAGGAGTCCTCTGACTTTTTTTTAAAGCCTTGCAATAGTAGAGAAGATAATACAGTATAAATATTTTGTTCTTTCCATTATTCAAAGGACTAATTTTCTGGACTTTATGTGAAATGAGAGTAATAAGTTGATTTTCAGAATTTTAAATTGATGGGGATCTAAGTTAGGTTTGAACAACCAAAATTGCTGGGCATAGTAGCACACACTTGTAATCCCAGAATTTGGAAGGCTGAATCAGGAGGATTGCTGTAAGTCCCAAGGCCAGCCTGGGCTACATTTGTGTTCAAGGCTGGCATGAATTGCATAGCAAAACCCTATCTGAAATAAACCTTCCTACTGTTGGTTATTGTTGTGCATATTTTTCACAACAAGGAGTGATTGGTAAAATAGTGAAACTGAATGTGTGTTGCTAGGTGCTGCTACATGATGGGCACTGTGCTACTAAAATTAGTGAGGTCTAAATTTGAAGTTCATGAACAAGTGACCAAATATCTGCAATTCAAAAGTTAAAGAAATAGTCTTTCTCTATAAGCTCTACAATTTAGATTTTGTTTTTTTTTTTTTACAGTATTGGTCATTTACAGTAACTTACCCAGGCATCTGTATGTTAGTTATTTTAACATGACTTTAGAGAGCGTTTGTTGTGTGACAACCTGTGTAATACACGATTTTCTTGTATGACACATTTGTGAAAGAAAGTGTGTTGTCCATTTGAAATCCCTATTTAAATGACCTGAGAATCCAGGAGATAAATTTAATTTTGCATAAACACAGCCTATTTTTCAAACTTCATTCTTTCTGGAACCATTTTCTATGTAAGATACAGAACCCCACTTGTAACTACTTTGCGTAGTTGTTTTTTTTCTTCATCAAGTTTTCATAAAATCTTTTTTACTGTAAGCTTCAAATTAATCTATATAAAATAGGTAAGACTGAAGGCAATCCTATGACTAAAATGGTTCAGCTATAAGACAGGCTTTTTTTTAGTACTTCATAGTACAAAAATTAGAATTAGAATCTCATATATTCATTATTAAACTTTATCAGTGTTTTACTTAGGACCAATCTTACATTGTTATGTCTTATGCACTAGAATCTTCTCATCTTGGAGCTATTGCCAGTAATCATGTCTCTTCATAAACATTTCAGTGTGTGTTTTCCATGTATGTGACTCAATCTACTATCATGCCTAAATATACTTCCTAAGTAGTAAATATCCAGTGATAGCTTAGATTTCTGATTTTTCTCATACATTTTTTACTTTATTTAAAGATTCAGATAAGTTCAGATGTTAATGTAGCTTGATAGGTATTTTGTGTGTGGTCATGAACTCATCAGTTTAATCATTTCATGGTTATTGATCCTTCGTTTTCTGTCACTGATGTTCAAATTGTCCCGTCTTTGGCCAATAGGAGACTATAAATTAGTTGGTTCTTGAATCCTTTTGGTAAGATCCTATTGGTTTTTGAGGATTATCTTATTTTGTAATACGAAACGGTATTCTTGGTGCAGTTTCTCTGAGGGGTCTTTATTTTCAATGTCAAAAGTGTGTTGTTTTTACTAATTTTATTCAGTGGTTGGAGCTGGGGGGTGGTAAAAATACACTTATGTATGAGTACATGTATACATATGAATAAAGAATTGAGAGCTCATAGAAACATTGTACTTTTAATTCTTAGTTACATGTTTTTTAATACATTCACATATACACATGTACAAATTGGTAAGTGGGTGGTAATCCCTTAGATAAAGATACATCCAGAAATTATCCTAATACTTGTAAGTTAGTTGTGGACTATATTGTTTTTACTTAATCTCATGGGTTTTATATTTTCTTACCTCTTTTTTCCATGCTAAAAACTTACCTTTCTCATGGCAGCAACATGCTGGGTGATATATACATTTAAATTTTTGATGAATAATCTAAAATTGCAATCTGTATAGGTTATAATCATTTGAGTATCCCACAAAGATGTGTGAAAGTGCCTTTTGTCTACTTGTTGCCATAATGTGTACTCAATATAGTGGTTTTATTGCCTACTCCTTGACCTAACAGACCTAAAGGTATGTAGTTTATCCTAATTGTTGGTACAGTGAAGTATTAAACAGTGTTATCTTTGTAAAATGGAAATTCATTTCATTGTTTTGTAAGATGCTGGTTTCAACTTCTTTTCTTTTAATAAGAGACTGACTCTTCAGCATTGTCCCATCTGATCTTGTGACTCCTGCCTCAGTCTCTTGAGAATCAGAGAGTACAGGGGTATGCTACCATGCCGACTCTCATTTCAGTTCTAATTCACTTTTTTGAGGGGAAGGGGTTCTTGAGACAGGTCTCACTGTGCAGTTTAGGCCACTCTTGAACTGTCTATTAGTCTGGCCTGTAATTTGTAGCAATCCTGCCTCAGCTCTCTGAATGCTGAGATAGGTATGTGCCATCATACCTGGACATCTTTTTCTTATTATTGAGCTGGTTTCATGTTTAAGTATTACGTATTTCTATTTCTGTAAGCTTTTAATGCTGTTTACCTGATATTTTGCTGAGTTTTCTATTCTAGTGAGTTTCTGTTTCTCTTTGTAAATGAATTGAAAATTTTTCTTATGCTCTTTATATAGTAGTTCTGTCATATTCTGGAGAGGGATATCTACCCATAGATTTTCCATCACCTACTATTTGTCTAGAACTACAGATATTTGCTTTTCTGTACATATATGCCTATGATAAAGTTTAATTTGTAAATTAGGCATAGTAAGCAATTAACAGTACAATAAATAAAATAGAAAAGTATAACATACTACAATAAAAGTTTCATCTGTTTCCTTGGGTAGGTAGTATATCCATCATGGATACTTTGGACTGATAAATGATTCCTATCCCAGGTGGGATAGCATGGCGTGGTAGAGAAATGGCATGTGCACAGTTGTCTGCTTTTTTTTTTTAAAGAATGATGAAACAAAATAGAAAATGGGCAAAAATAGTACATACTTTCTTTTTTTTTTTTGTCTTTTTCCTTTTTATCGTTACCAGGGATCAAACTCACGACTGCCTGCTTGCAAGGCAGGCGCTTATGCCACTGAGCTAAATCCCCAACCCCTAAAAATAGTACATACTTTCAAAGAAAAGAAATAAACAGTAACAAATCACTAGTTGATGTATATATATTGTGCCCCACAAATAGTTGTTCAAGATACACAAGTGGAACATAAATGAGAATTCAACCAAGGAGACTACAAACAGTTCTGTTCAACTATCCAACGAAAACTAAGTATTATGGCTGTCATTCCTGTACACTTAGACATGTATGCATTTGTCCATATCTTCATTTATGTTGAGACCTAACACAACTTATTAGATTAAAATCCTTCTGAACAAAGATTAATAATATTGCTGGATTTCATATCATAACACTCCAGAATCAGCACTGGGTACTGCAGTGCCCCTTTCTTTCCTTCAAAGTATTTGTTCATTTCATCATGTGTCAAGATCAGTTCTCATAAACTATTTATAGGTTTTAAGCAAGCATGAGTCTTAACATGTATTTCTATCCTTTCTATATTAGAGGGAGAAAAAGAACAAAGCAGAACAGTACTAAACTTTTTCCTGTAGACACATAAAACTAAAAAGATGTAAATCTGCTGTAGAAGGAGTTCTACCATGGTCACTGTGCTGTTTCTTGTTATCAACAGAATTGGCTATATCATCAGATAAAGTATAATTGAACGTATCAGTACATAACAGCATTAGCAGAAATACAGCTTTGTAGATAGTGTAGAGCTAAAAAAACAGGTGGTAATCAAATTAGAATGGATATCGTCGTGAATCATTGTCATTTTCAGTATAGCTGTCTGTACTCAACTTGATACCAGCAACCTAACAGTTTTGAATAAAATGTGTCAATAATAAGCAGCAATCAAACAAGTCAGATTTAACTAAGATCAGTCATGATACAACAGTGTAAGTCATACAGAGATCTTGATTGAGCTAATAGGAAATTAAAGATGATTATTGTGCTATGTTCTGATATCTTTGGGACAGCTCTCTGTGCCCTCAGATCCAGTGCTTGAATACAAACTAAGATGGAACAAGTTCCAACCAAGCAGATTGGTGCGAGTAATTGGGGTTTAAATCCTGATATACTATTAGCTGTATCTTCTGCTG